AAAAAAAAAAAAAAAAAAAAGAAAAAAACAACAACAACAACAAAAGAACGGCAACAACAACGGCACAAACAACAGCGGCAACAACTACAATAGCAACTACAACAACAACGACAATGCCATTTAAATTTTCATGCTTTTTTTTTCTGTTGCCAAAATCAAAAAATTCCAGTTTCACACCCAACTTGATACCAGAAAAAATGGCTCAGTTGAACAACACATACTACTACTTATTACTCCCTAGACAGCTAACTATGCCGTACTGTATATAGTTGAATACTACTGCACAACAAAACTATCACTATGTATAAGTTGACGATGGAAAAAACTTTTTTTTTACAAAATTTATGGTTAAGAATAGGTAAAAAAAAAGAATTTCAAGAAAGAAAAGCAAACTTCAGGAGGAACAATTTTAAGAATTGATACAGTAAGCGTTCCAATATAAAAAATTCGAATAAAAATGAAGGAAAAAAATTCGAGCGGGCAAAAAATGAAAAAAACTGGATAACAGTTGACAGAACTGTTGCCTAAACTACGGTACCACCGCTGTGAGAATTTTTAAAACAATTTTCATTGTTGGCGAAATAAACTCAGAAACTAGTAACTATCGGTAACAATGTGACACAAAAAAACAGTCCAATTTGGTTCCACTCAAGTTTTAACGCTTAAATGAATCTTCTTCTGACCAAGGGTTCCTTGCTTGTTGAATAAAATGATTCCAGCACATTCCACAGAATCAACAAACAAATTACTCTACAACGTCTCCTTAGAACAAATTCCTAAGTCGGAATACGTCCATTATCCATCGCTATCTGTTTTATTACCGCAAAGTGAAAGTCAAACAGTAGTAATAGCTAATGCATACGTTCGTCTCAGAAGACGAAGGCAAACGACAAATAAATATTTATATGAAGATATATAACTAGCCAGATAAAACAGAGTAATTTATGTACGTATATATATGCTAGACTTTTTTATTGCCACCTGACTTACCGTTTGATATGCTTCTGTGCTAGCAACCGGCATCATTGCTGGATACATCGCTGTAAGACCCTGATAATACTGATATGGAAGTGCTGCAGCTGGAATCAGCGTTGCTTGAGCTGCTGCAGCTTGCTGTTGCTGTTGGACAAGGAGTAGGGAGTCGGCACTGATTGCCGGACTTGGTTGTCCACCAACAACCAGTTGTGCTAGTGGATTGATAGGCGGAATGTTTGTGGCAGCACCGGTCTGATTAAGTTGCGTACAAATTAAATTTTTCAGTGCTAAATTATTCCGTCCATTTATTAACAGCTGATCCTTAAGGTGCTGTGGTGGATGAAGATATTTACATTTTGGGTTTTCTCTCGTACATCGCCCCTAAAACGAAAAAAAACAGTTGAAAAAAGGTAAGGAAAGATTACTTTTGAAGTAACAAAGTAATGAAAAAGATATGATGTCTCCCAGTAGTCAGTTGTATCCTTTAACTAGTATGTTAATTTCAACTTCTACTATTACTATTTTTTTATATACACAAATAACAGAATAACCAAAAAGACAAATAAACTCCAAATATTACTACTATCTGTTGGCTATCATCTAATTATAACGTCATAATCCAACCAAAAAGACAAACACTTTGACGTCAATTAATGATTAATTTCATCACTGGCTCTCCTTGTAATACACACTGACCAGCTAATTTAAATTCAAGCCTTAATCACTTTTTTAACTGTACTAATGCTGATTCTTATTGCTAATGATCTAAGAGGAAGCCTGCTGAGCACTGTACCGAGCGAACAGAAAAGTGACATAACGGCAAAGTGTTTTATCAACATTTGCTGACCATTCGTTAACGTCTCCGTCTGTCAAAAAGCAATTCCTCCATCTTCCGCTTTACCTTCTCCCTATTCAAGAAGAAGAAAAAATCAGAAAACTGTCAGATTCTGATTATCAATAACTGATTATTCTTTAAGAAATTTAATCGAACTTTTATTTACAATCAATAATTGCTATCCAATAACAATTTCTTGCATTTTCCTTTGCCACTTTTGTTCTTTGTAGTTGGTTCTTGAAGCAATGAATGATTATAAGTCGAATAGAAGAATAAAGCATAGAACATAATTTAAAACCAGGCTCCTAACTATTGCTACAAGTAAACAAGGGTATCCTGCTAACAAAAAAAAATGAGTTACTTCTCAATTCCCATAAATCAAAATCATTCCTTTTTTCTACGTTTCCGCTTGTTTATTAAAACAAATACTTATTCAATATTATTAGAAAGTTCTGTACGAACAATTGTTCCTTAATTCCAGAAAAAGGCAACGAAGAATATGAAAAAAGTAAAAAGATTTTCTGCCCATTTTCTGCTTCACTAACTCTAGGAACCTTTGAAGTATCAGAAGCAAAACCTTACTTTACATCCAGAATAACAAGAATTAGATAAAGGTGAAGATCGAAATAAAAAGGAATAAGTAAAAAAGAAAAATGAACAAATAACAAACACCCTATCTTACTTCAAAATCTGATAAGTTGATTGAAAAAAGTTAACTGAATTTCCCGATACCAGTTTTGAAACTATGATCCAACTAAATAACTCCTTGCTTTAGCTTTTCCCTATCTTCCGTTTCATCCTACAATTCTCTTCTGAGCCATTAAGCAATTTCAGACAAATGATGAACCATAATTAATGAAAAAACAACTGACTAATTTACACAAAATGAACAAAAAATTCTTATGATTGTATTTTAAAACCACTTTTTTCAAGCAGAAAAAAATAATATCAGAGTAAAAAGTGTACCCTACCAGAAATTTCTTTTATTGCTTACCTGAGCATTCTCGTATTAAATCTACAAAAAACTGCATCGTTTGCTGTTAGCTAAAGAACCATAATAACCAAAGGTTTAGGAAAAAAACCAATGCTATTAACAGCAATTTTTCTTCTAATGTGAAAACTACTCTCAGCATAAAGCTTTATTGCAATCTAATGTCTATAACAGATAAATAAACAGCAGACAAAAAACTAATCATAACCTTCATACAATCTTAATGATCTTTGAAAGCTGTCATATAACCTACAGAAAAACTTACCAACACTGACCAAAATTTGTTGTTTTCAATAGCTGCAGACAAATGACCACAGTAAATATTGTTGACACCCGATTCCCCAGGTTTCCAAAACAAAGTACCCACTGTACGTGTAAAAAAAAATAGAAATCTTCTATATCATTTCTCTCTGACCAATCAGTTTCCTTAAATCTTTCTTCATTACATAAAAAAGCTAATTAAATAAAAAAAGATTTTTTTCTTTATTATATAAAATAATGTATTTGTACTGTATGTGCAGTTCAACTGTCGGCGGTCGCTGCAGATATCTCATCCACCCACAACCGTGCGCGATAAATCCGATTAGCATTAAATTAATCCTAACAATTTGCTCCATTTCAAAAGATCAAAACAGTCAACCATTTATGGCTTGCCCTAAATCCTTATTTTCTATCATAATTTCTTCACAGATATGCCGTTTGTAGCCTTTTTCTTTTTCACCAGTAATAGTGTATTTCTGTAGTTCACTAATTTTACATTACTGGAGGTGGCCCATTGACCAAGCACAACTTTACTAAGCAAATATCTTCATTCCACTTTGACAACTAAGTAACATATAAACCTTTCATAATTTTTCAAAGAACCAGAAGTCTTTCACTGAAAAAATAAGGTAGCAAAATCTATTTTTCGATTCTATGATGAAAGAGCCTGGAAAATGAAGAATAAGAAAAAAACTGAAGCTTGTCAAGCTGACATATGGCTAAATTGGTGAAAATTGATAAAATGCTTTTTCTTCCTATACTGAAGCAATCTATTCATTCCTATTAGAATCATTATCAGAACAGCATTGTCATTTTCTTCATAATCTAAGCAGCAACCCAAAAAGCTTTAATTTTCGCTTAATCTCTGAAAACCAGAAAAAGAAAAATGATAAGTAAAATTCATTGCATAGAAAAAAGACGCCTCAGTAATGCTAAAAAATTTTTTTTGAAAAACTAGATGTGTATATACATATATAAAGTGAGGCTCAGAAAATTGGGTATTTAGCTTTCAGCTGCAACAAATACACGCATATACCCATTAATTACATTCAGTATCCCATCGAACCCCCCAAATAATTCTTCCCTAATCACATCACTCACTCATTTTCAATCTTTTCCTATTTTTTTAGCTCAGTTCTATTTTGTT